TTGTTTGAGCATCATTTTGAGAGAGAAAATGCATTTTTGAATAGTGATTTTTGGAGAAGGTATGGTTAAAAATGAAGAGTTTTTTTTAATTTACGTGTAATATTATTTTATTGGAGAACATATGACTGAAAATGAGTTTTGAAAAAATGAATTTTCAAAAAAATAGGGCTCAAATAAATTTTCATATTTAACTATTAAATATATATGATAGATAAATTTACCATTTGATTATCATGGCAACCTACCTACTTATTGTTAGAGTCGATTAAATTATCATATTGCCATACTCAAAAATTACTTTGTAGATTTCAACATAAATGGTGAGATTAACACACACATATATATATATATATAATCACTTAAAATGAATTCTATTTAAAATCAAGTAGGCATAATAAAATCAAATTTAAAGGCAACTACAGATTTGATCCAACATGCATATCTTATGATAGCGACATAAATTACGTGAATTGATATCAATTGGGTAAGAGTTCACGTTAAAGGGGAAAAAAAAGAAAGGAGGCCAAGTTGGTGAGGAAAGGAGACCAAGTTGGCGAGTCCACTGGAGGAGGGCAATTTAGTCTTTTTGCTTCTTTATTTTGCATTATCAAGAAAAAAACTTTTATTTGTGCGAAATGACTTGGAGAACCCCACTGAGTTGAACTTGAAAACGAGTAAAATTATTTTTTTTAATGTTAATTATTAATTTATTTGAAAGTGATATTGCAAGATAAATTAAAAAAAAGAGAAGAAACTTTAAAACATTACGTGAGATTTGATAGCAACCACATTCTTTAGTTTACGTTGATTATAAATAATGAATAAATTTGAAATCCCACAGAATATTCTATTTTTACTTTGTTATTGGATGTGTTCATCATCACATTTATTTAAATTTTTACTTAAAATGATTTTATTTATCTTATCAAATACGACATAATTAAGAGTGTGTTTGATGTGCTGAATTGCTTAAGATTGCGATTTCGATTGTTAGCCGCTGAATTCAAATTTTCATATAAACATGCTGCAACGAAATATCTTTAGGCTTGAAAATGATAATTATTTTGCAGAATTAAGTTAGAGAAACTTTGTAACAATAAAATTATTGTAATCCAATTGTACAAGTAGCTTGTATCTAAAGCAAGTGCAACTAAATATTCAATTTAAAAAGATGCAAATGGACTTGCAATATTCGAGTAAGAAGAATGTGTATCATCTAAAAACGTGTTTACTTTTTCTCTAAAATTAGACCATTTCTTGATTTTATGCATATCATTTTTGATATTTTGTTAAAAAAAACATTTAAAAATCATAGTGCGCAAAGTGCATAGTACCAGTGGTGGATCCAGCACCCGACGAGGAGACGCTGCCGTGCGTGCTGAACTCCGCCGAAACAGTGGTCTGGTGTTAGTGGAAGGAAGGGGGGAGAGGAGAATAAGACGACCATAATTCTTCCTGGTTTCTTTTTTATTTTATTTTAAGTTTGGGTTTAAACTGCTGTGGGTCATTTTTAAAAATAACTAAGCCCGGTCCAAATTTAGTTGATCAATTACCATTATCCATATATATTCCGTGATCTATTACCATTTCCATGTGACCGACGAAGGTGAGAAGAAAACACTACGCAATGTATGCACGCAAAGTCACAAACGGTAGATGGACCGCAGTCACTGCACCGCAGTGAGCTCATCTGGGACACCGGATTCCGGACTCCTGTGGCTGTGGGCTGTGACTTGTAAGCAGAAGTCAGAAACCCTCATCCACCACCTCGACACCTCCTGTGAGCAGAAAGCCAAAAATGGAACTCGATTACTCGGATGGACGCCGAACGGAGATGGACCTCTCGACTCGTAAGCTGCAGACATCACTGGACAGACATTGGACAGCGAGTCTCCTTCATTGTTCTTTTACAGATTTTTTTTTGTTGGCTTTGGAAATTTGGAATTGATATTTGGTGTTATTTTTTATTTATGAGTTATGAATAATGATTTATGTTCTATGACTAATGAGTTAATTGGCAATTTGACATTCAAATGAGAATTGTGATGTGTGAATATGTAATTTGGGAATTTATTATTTATGTTTACGAATTTAGGGTTTAGGATTACAAAAATTCAATTGAAAATATGTGATTTAGGAATTTAGGGTTTAGAGTTAATAAACTACATTGCTATTACAATTGTTGATTATCGACGGTCAACGATCAACATTACAGATCCGCCATAGCTGAACTTTAACCTTGGATTCGCCCACATCAAAACAAAGAGGAAAAAATTATCGAAAAATCAAAGATTATGTATCAACTATATTACTTATAACTGCAAGAAATCAAAGAATATTTCAAAAATAAATAACAATATTTGAAAAACAATTGAAAGAAGCTTTCAATCTTTTTATTCTGAGATACTTACTTTTTAGCTAAGGTCAAGAGATTGATTATGTTGGGGATACATTTGGCAACGTTCATGAAGGTTATGAAAAAAGTTATGGATTCCTCAAATATCAGGTATCATTAAAATTCTACACGTTTTTCTTCATGTTGCAGTCTCGGAAGTGATCAAGAACTAGAAAAAAATNGGTGAGAAGAAAGCACACACCGCAATGCACGCACGCAGAGTCGCAGACGATAGACAGACCGCAATCACCACATCGCAATGAGTTTAGCTGGTGCTCCGAAGTTCAGACTCCTATGACTGTGGGCTATGACTTGTGAGCAGAAAGTCAGAAATCCTCATCCACCACCTTGACACCTCCTGTGAGCAAAAAGCTAGAAACGGAACTCGGTTACTCGGACGGACGCCAGACGGAGACAAGCCTACCGACTCGTGAGCTGCAGACATCAGTGGACAGACACTGGACAGTGAGTCTCCTTCATTGTTCTTTTACAGATTTTTTTTTTTTGTTGGCTTTGGAAATTTGGAATTGATATTTGGTGTTATTTTTTATTTATGAATAATGATTTATGTTCTATGACTAATGAGTTAATTGGCAATTTGACATTCAAATGAGAATTGTGATGTGTGAATATGTGATTTGGGAATTTATTATTTATCTTTAGGAATTTAGGGTTTAGGATTAAAAAAATTCAATTGAAAATATGTGATTTAGGAATTTAGGGTTTAGAGTTAATAAACTACATTGCTATTACAATTGTTGATTATCGACGGTCAATGATCAACATTACAGATCCGCCATAGCTGAACTTTAACCTTGGATTCGCCCACATCAAAACAAAGAGAAAAAAATTATCGAAAAATCAAAGATTATGTATCAATTATATTACTTATAACTGCAAGAAATCAAAGAATATTTCAAAAATAAATAACAATATTTGAAAAACAATTGAAAGAAGCTTTCAATCTTTTTATTCTGAGATACTTCCTTTTTAGCTAAGGTCATGAGATTGATTATGTTGGGGATACATTTGGCAAAGTCCATGAAGGTTATGAAAAAAAAGTTATGGATTCCACAAATATCAGGTATCATTAAAGTTCTACACGTTTTTCTTCATGTTGCAGTCTCGAAAGTGATCAAGAACTAGAAAAAAAT